AATGATCCTGAGGCAGATATGGCTAGGCAGTTCTGATGTGTGAATAACGTAGTATGAGCGAATGAAAGCAAAGCATTTTCATTACAAAGCAAAGTTAAATTCCGTAGTTTGTTGCATGACGCCACTTCTGAAGCATTATTCCCATGACTAGCTGTTGCCATAGTTGATGGCTAGCACAGCCCTCAGCCCCAAATACACTTCCCACACAAATTCCAGGTCTAGTAGAAGTGTCTAGAGGGATCAGTGGCATTGCGATCAAGTATATTTTAGTTAAATCAAAACTAGATTACTGGTACATTTGGCTCGTGGGTATTACTCTTACACCACGGGAGGTTAACCGTAGGAACGGGTCCAGTCCAAGGTGACACAGAGAAGTGAAGGCGTGCTCGAAGAGTGTTTGGGTGACTGAAACCCATGAAATACGTACTTGTCAAATTTACGGATGTTTTCTTACTGGTCCATATACTTTCAAGGCCAAGTTTTTGGTTTGTTAAGATTATGCTGTTTGGCTGTGTTCAAATTTCCAAAAATTGACTAAAACATACCTAAATAGAACAACTTGCAATTGGTCTACCTGGTAGCTTTAAACTAGCCTAGGACAAGCATCTGGCCCCAGTTAATGTTGAGGAGGATAAAAATACAGGCCTGGATATTAAATCTGCTTTTAGAGTTGTTTAAATGGACATTATCATTACCGGTTCTAAATTAGGTCCTCTTTCTGATTAAAGTTGCATTATGAAACGTTCGACTCATCACAACTACCATTCTTGTCAAGTCACATATATGTGACGTGTCGTAGCAAATGACGATAACTAGGGCTTTATCAAATCATGCCGTGCAGAAAGATTAATTATAATCTAACTATTAGTAATGATAAAGATTTATTTTATGTTTTTGGTTTGGAGCAGAAATTGAGCCTACTTTGATCACTAAACCTCAATTCGGCGGTGGTTTGGACTGCTTTACCAAGTCGCCTACTGTGTCGTTAGAGGATACGTTTGCATGGACTTCAATTCTATACTTAGGGTTATTTTTCATTATCTCATGAAATCTGTCTTCAACGCCTAATGCTTGACGAAGATCAACAGTACTATTTACTGCAGTACAAAGTTGTGTAAAAAGCATTGAGACTGACTTCTTAATTTATCATTTTTCTACCTATTTTGAATGCAACTTTTTTCCTCTCTGATTCTTCTTCACGCAAACTAATTAGACAAGCAAGTTAAATTGGCTCCACCTCGATTTGGTTAACTGGTAACGGAGGTCAAAGGCAAATGACAGTGGCGAAACTAACATAAATTGCGGAGACACTGTAAACTAAAAGGTAGTACTTTATAAAACCAAATTTTTCTGCAACTTGCGATAGTTTGGTTTCCCAAACCTGAATTGCTAACACAAGGAACATTTTGGATGGTAATTTTTGGTGCATTAATCTCAAGGCAGTGATAATTAGATGGCGAAAATTACCATAACTTATCTCTAAAAAACTAATCCATAGCGAACTTATAAAACAAACAAAAGTTGCTTTGGGGAAGTCTTCACGAGTAAATGCATAAAATGAAACTGCCTTCGAAATTCGAGGCCCAAGCAAAAAAATGGTCATTTTCTGCTAATTAACAATAAAAATGCGAATAGATGAAACAACTAATAAAAAATGCACATGCTTTCGCTTTCTTGTGCAAAGTGTGCAGATAATGTCAGCGACAACTGCCACGAGAAGAATGATGCAAGTTTGCACGACCACATCCTCAATACGCAGCATTTGACACTTTCTGTCACGAAAGCTCTTCTGCAAGTTCCTGCACTCCTGTGCCGCCGGTGAAGGCACTCGTCTACTCACATTCAATATAACACCTGGCTTCGGTCATATGAGCGCAAATTCATCAAATACAGTATCTTCCATACTCGAGGTGGCTGTCTGATTCAACGTGTTGCTGTAGTAGAAAG